CAAGAGCATTTGACAGTCATCTCATCTTTGTTTTGAGACTATGCAGCGGTGTGCCTACAAGAAACTATGCATGATCAAGATGATAACAGTCAGACACAACCCTTGATGAAAGCGTGACCGTTCAGCAACTAATAATTCATGACAGTCACACACAGATAATTGCCAGTTTCCATAAGCCCACTTGACTAACGAGACTAATTTTGATTTCTGAACTAAAACACAGTGAATAAACGACAAATCTCATCACCAATGCTTAGTTAATAGTTTGTTTAGTTGGAGTATTTGTGCATAAAATGATTAGCCTTAATTGAGTGACGTTCACATTAAGTTTACTACAAAATATTCTCAAACTGTACTAAGTTGTCTTCGAATTCACTGTAATAGTCTGTGATGTCAGAAATTCTTTAGACTGCCTAAAAATCTAAGAAGTGTCCAAAATGTTAGTAGATGGTTATTCGATCAAGCTCAGCCGTTGGCAGCTAGTGGCCGATTCCTAATAAGAAATTTAAATTAAGAACTTTTATTATTTTTTTTAAAAAAAAAAAACAATAATCAAGAGTTGTTTATTTTCAGTTACATACTTCTTCACTGTCATGGTTCACCAAAACAAGAGTTGTACAGCTTTGGTTGATATCGATAATTTGTGAAACAGTCTCGAATTCAAAGTGGAAATATTTATTCATCTCGGTCACATTTCTTACACTATTCTACTGACTGAAGCTGAAAAGCCTATTGTCATTGCATTGTTATATTAGATGTTTTTAAAGAAGTCGTCAACACTATGATTTCACTGTTGGTTTAATGCTCGCTTGTGAAGATATATTAAGCAAGAAATACCTGCAATCTAGATAGAGAAGCAAGTTCGCTACACAACTCAGAATCAGGAAATTTTGCAATAAGTTGTAGTGTTCGTTTGTCTATGGTGTAACTAGTTTTTAATTCACTGTTTATAATGATAAGTTAGCTAAAGTGTACTCCGTCTGAAGGCCGATTGACACATTAATACTATAATTTCATGTTACAAAATAAATGAAAGATATTCGTTAAGTGATAAATTTGAAATTAGATAAGCGGTAGCTAAATGAGCGCAGTTTTTCTATTGGTTTCTTGATTCACGATTTATGCATATGAGTTTTCCCGGATATCCTATTTCCAGGTAACAAGATACACAAAATTTACAACTGAGATTATTTTTATTGTATTTTTTAATATTATTTTAAGATAGTAGTGTAAGTTTTTCAGAGAGAAAGAGAGAGAGAGAGAGAAAGAATAGATAGAAGAGGAACAGTCACCAATCATCATCAAGAAAACCGTGAGCAAAATCAATGAAGTGTTTTTTTTTGTCTTTGAAAAACTTACTTTCCCACTTAGTTCCCCACTTATCAGCCTAATACTCTAGTTTATTCAGCAGATAAGAATGAAGAGAGCGAAAGAAATCAGGATATAAGAAGTTCAAAAGTTGTTTTTTTTTGGGGGGGGATTAAGTGTGTACTCTCGTGATGAAATTGAATCCTTTCTTTCACATGAGATAATGGAAATAATTGTATAGACAAAAAAAAGGTAAATTTAAATGAAGTTAACATACACTTGCCCATGCATTTTTAAACAGGTATGTATATGTTTATATTGGTAGCACAATAAAAATATGGTAGGAAAGATCCAAACCAATCGATAATCTGATGATGGACCCTCGAATAAAAGTGCTATTTAGAAATATAAATGATCATTATTATTCTTATAATTGAGTTCCGTAATATAAATTAGTTATATATTAATTATACATTTGACGGTGTCTACTTCTTGTTACATATATATATGTATATGAGGATACAGTGCTTACGTAACAAACAACCCTTAATGTCACTTCGTCGGCCTCATTCTTTATATATATATATATATATATATATATATATATATATATATGTATATGACTCTAATTTGGGAGAATGTAGATAAAGTTAGGTGATTCCTGCTTTAGTTTACAAAACATTTAAGGTTAGATTTTGGTTTATTTAATATATTTCCCGGAGGAGAATGAAATAAAAAGATAATTACGAAGAAAATATATGAGATGAGGGAGAAAATATTGTGAAATAGAACATTGTTTCTTGGAGAAATTGAAAAAACAAACAATTTTAGGTTAAGTCTTAGTAGACATTCTCTCTGTTCACTAGTAATCTTCCACTTCCACTATCTCTCTCGCTCGCCCCCCTTCTTCTCTTTATTTCTCATATCTCTTTCACTTCCCAACCCTCTTCCTCTAACTGTCTTGGAAGTGAATTTATTGAGCTAAGAGAGAATAGAGAAAGAAAATCAAACTGTATATATAAATGTATGTGTATATATATAATTTCGTTTCAATCTATAGTATCTTCAAGATTTCGTTGCGTTCTATCACACACTGTACGTCTGATTGTAGAGTATATATATATATATACTGTACAACGTATTGTATACGTATATGAACACATCTACCAAGGTAAACACAATTTGGATTGAAATGAGTGGAAAAAATACTACAGGAACATGACAAAAATTAAATAAAAGATTTTTTGGCTCATTTCAAGATTAATTAAAAGATTCATACATTGAGTTATATTAAATTACGTGTTATCTGATGGACTGATATAGATTTATTGATTAATTATAGATTATTATGTCAATGTGTATACAACACATGCATATGTATGCATGACTGTCTGTCTCAGTTTGTCAGTTCATGTGCTATTTATAATTTTCAGTACTGGTCCCTCAAATATCCTGATTTATTCTTTTATCTGATTTATCCATGCGTGCGTGTACAAATGTAGGCAAGTGTGTGTGTGTATTTAATTGTTTGTTTATCAGAGTAAGAATTGAGCTTCTTCGCATACATTGTTGTAATAAATGTGAAGTAATAATTCGGAATGCTGATTTACTTGTAATAAATCTAAACATACTGACTTTATTTCGGTAATATTAAGCGAGATTAGTATGCATACAGAATTCACAGAAAAATTGTATTCACCTACACAACCGCTTTACGCAAGTATTTTGCGTTATGAACAATGAAACATAATATTCAACTGATAATAAGTAAGACAGGTTGAGTACTGTTAAGCCAGTGTGTGCGTGGGTGGTGTGTTAAGACAATATGCATTTACAATGCTAAAGATAACCCGATTTCACTACTATACTCACTTACACACAGACACGCACACATACAAACACATTTAACACATCATATACAAGTAAATATTTGAATAAAACCTAAAAGATTCGATTAGGAAAGAGAAAAAGGGATCGTGTAGATTGAGTAGGGAAAAGCATGAAGAGGAAATCAAGTATGAGGAGACTGCACATAAAAGAATGAAGTTGCTTGTAAATTTTTCATTTTTTTAGTTTTATGCTATATATATATGTTGTATTGTAATTTGGGCATAACTTATTATTTGTCGACTTATCCGTATTCATTTTTATATAGAAATAGGTTTAATTTGAAATTTTCACAGAATTTCACCCAATGAATAGGGAAAAACTTTCCTATAATGAGGAGAATAGGTCATTCTTTCATTTCTTTGAACTGCTCAGTGGTAACCTCGTAAGTAATTTACCCAAAGAAATTTTATGGGCAATGAAAACATCAACTGAAATAGAATACACATGCATATTTCAAGAAATTGGGTCTTAAATATGAAAGAATACAGGATAAACAAGAAATAAAACGAAGATAGATAAAAAGGGATGGATAGAAGGAGAGAGAGAGGGAGGAAAGTGACAACGATAATGCCATTGTCAATGAGATAAAATGGGTGAGGACTAGTTAATCGAAATAAAAAACCAACAGACAACACTAAGAGGAAGTTGAAAGACTGAGAGCGATAGGGAGAGAGAGAGAGAGAAAAGGAAATATATGCATGTATGTATTCATACTCAGCAATCTCAGTAAACAGATCATTTTGAGCAAATGGTTAAGAAAGAAAGTAGAATAAAAAAAAGTAAGAAGCAAAAAAGTGTATTTAGTTTTCACTATCTTCACAGTTACATTTGTCCTGTGATGATTAAACTTTATTTTGCTTTCTTTTCTCCACATCTTTATCCCCATTTAGCCACTTTTGTTTTCCTCTTCTCTGCCTTTTAGTATCATGGTTTTATTTTAAAAATGAGGTGTATGTGGGTGTGTTTTGGTAGATGGGCGAGCAAATAGGCGGACAGTGATAGGAACCACGGTGATTGGGAGCACTTTCACACAGATCTTTCTACGGCTAATCAGCTTTCCTTTTGCTTTCTAAATTTTATTCCGATAAACGATCATTCATTCGTTTAGGTGATCAACGGAAATGTATTCTTTGTGAAACAGGAAAATTCCTAAGAAATTTTCTCATGTAGAAAATGTGAAAATACAATAGTAATAATAAGGGCAATAGTAATAATAATAATAACAGTGACAGAGTTGAAAATAAAAGAGAAAATTTAAGAAATGTGAGTTATTAAATAAGATATAGCGGAATAATGAAAACCAAAATCTAAAATTAAAAAAAACAAAAACAATTCCAGTATTTATAAGTTGGAAGTGCTTAGCAGAAAATTATATTTGGTCCTCGTTGTGAATATATACGTTGCAAGTATGCAAATGAATAAGTTGAACTCTGTTTTTCTTGGGTTGATTCATCAACCACATTTGAATTGCACAAAAAATAATCAAGAGTGATACATACTAGTGATAATATTGATAATAGTGAATATAGTAATAATAATAATAATCATAGTACAAATAATTTCCAGAAAGACAGACATACTGGAGATGTTACAGAATTTTGTTTTGGCTTATTTATACGTGGACGTCGATGAGGGAATAGTTGGGGTTGTCATGTTCCCTTGGTTGATAAAACATGGGTTAGTAATCCATCCAGTAGTAATACGTATGTGCATTTTTGTGTACGATTTGACGATTATGCTTGTGTATGTGTGTATCTGTGACAAACTACCACTGGAACTAAACATCGACGCCCACATCAAGGTTAGACAACAGATGAACCTCGATTGACTGTTTCCAATAGACGGTTAACGTCTTCTTCTGTCCCCGTGATTTTCGCCTGTCGATAATTTTTCCATAATGTGGCTGTCACATCCAAGGCGATAAGATCACTAGCTATTTTAGAGACAACATGCAGAATGAAGACACCATCAGCGCCTAGATTATTATTTACAAATCGTGCACAATCACGCTCTTCTGTGCTAGATATCAATCGTAATGCCTTCAAATATTGTTTGATATAACGTACACGACGTACTGGCAATATTGTATTCATTGCCCATTGTAATGTGTTTAGAGTGGTTAATAATCCAAGAATAGCAAACCAAAACCACAGGAATACATAGATTTTCTCAGTGAAGTTATTGATCGGTAAAACACACTGCAAAGTGTAGCTGTAGAAAACAGGGAAACGGGAAAAAAAAAGAAAGAAATGTAACGTCAGTATGGAAGATTAAAGATAAAACTTGCATTTTAAAAAGTGTCTAAATTGGAATCTCTTTTATACACTCACCATCTTGTTCACACTACGTCGAGATAATTGTATTGCTGAAAAATAATAATTCCTCATAAAGAAAACATTTTATATGATACTGTCAACAGCAAGATATGTTAGGCCTATAATGAATCATTGCTACCTAAACTGCTAGATGTGGTGAGTATTCATCTATCTGCCCGGCTTAAGGGACAGCTTAACAAAGTATTCAGCTTTCAGGCATTGGTTTTGTAGGGATATTTTATTTGATTGGTTGGAGGATTTCATTATGAGTTGACATCAGTTAGAGAACCATTGGAAAACCTGCAGGGAGTACTACAGATACTCAAATAAGGACGAAACAGCTGTCCAGCACTCCCAGTTGGTTTTCTAATAGTTCTCTAACTGATATCAGCTCATGATGAAATTCTTCAACCAATCAAAGTATTCAATGTCTTATCGAACTACCAGAGTATTTGCAAATGGTCTCAATAATCAATCTAAGTTATTATGAATATGCAATAAAACTATATAATGCTAAAGGGAATAAGGATTTTCGGTTTCTCTTCTTCTAACTCATAGCCTTTACTAAATCCCTTTTTAAATTCAAGGAAATCTTTCCTCTACTCACACAGTATCAGTTTGCCTCAAAAGTAAAATCAGCCCAGATGAATAAGGAAAGCAATAGTGAAATTGCCTTTAAACATGTGATAATTAAGTGTGGTATCCTTTTAAAAGGCGAAGCAGGCTGGGGATTGAAATTCCACAGATAACAACTCAACTCAACATTGTTCATAGGAATAGAAAACTAAATGGTTTTCTGAAGAAAAAAGTAACATTTATATGATGGATGCAGAATTTCATAGCATCGCGTTCGCAAGCTCTTAAAAAAACATTAGGACCTATTTTTTCAACTGATATTGCTATCAAGACGATTAAATTGATATATTACGACGATTTAAATCCCCTCCCTTGCCACCTGCTGAATAGTAAAACCCCACTCAACAACTCTTATATCGATGAAATTGGTTAATTAGTTAGTAAGTTAATTAGAACTCATCGTGTGAAGGCTGACGGTACCATCCAGTTAGTCGGACTAAAGTAACTGGTGCGAGATTGAAACACAAATCCATTGGTTGGAAGTCTAATGCTTTCCCCAATGAGTCACATCGTCAGATAACTTACAATAGACTTATTTCACCCATCCATTTTGAAATCAGAGTTTTATCTATTCTACTTATTTCTTCTTTTGTAGTGTAAATCACGATGAAACGTCGGTGTATAGTGAAATACTGAAGGATATTTAAGGATTATTTTTATAAGATCGCTTATTGGCCAACTGCATATTATAAGGGATGTATTTAAAACACAGTGTGATGTGTTTGATGGTAAAACTGTTTTTCATTAATCATTGAGTATCAAGAACATTTGGTGAATACTACTGACTGACATTCCACATAGACAACGCATTCAGTCTACCACTGAACACAAACTTGTCGAAGTAATCAATTTTATTCAGATATCAGAAAACAATAAATCACTTTGATATTGCACAGAGATCCTGTTGGCAAATATATGTAATTTGAAGTAGTTGCAGACATTCAGCAGGAAACCGTAAACATTGGCTTCACAGTTACTGTTACGTGACATGAAGGCGTACCTAAAACCTTTAGAGAAGCTATGGAATTAGAGCCTGTGTCACCCAGTGCTATAGTCATAGACGTTACTACTGAACTATAATAATAATAATAATAATAATAATTTGCTTTATTCCAAAAACTGTACTTGTGATACAGAATGGAATTCTCAGTATTTTACTACAGTATTGATAATAGTTAGTGCATTAACAATAAATAAAATTCTACATAGATTAAGGTAATCTCAGTTCATTATAACAACAACATATTGGCATGTCGGTAGCAAAGTTAAAATTGAACAGGGTGTTTAAAGGTGTTAGAAAAGTAGGTGCCAGTATATTTACTGACGTAAGCGGTAACAAAATGGTCGAGATATGAAGAGTGTGAGAGAACGAAGAATGTTTTAAATAGAGTTTGTAAGGAAGAAACAGAGCAGCACATAACAGAAAAAAGAGGGAGAAAAGGAAAAGAAAGAAAGAAAACGTTGTAACTATAAATAATATGAGTTGGAAAGACGAGATCCAGTTGTTCTACTGACTATTTAGTAAGTTATAGGTATCACGCCTAATGCTTTCTTTATCGCACAGAACACGAGCTAAGTAGGGTATGGTTGAGTTTTTGTACTTGCTAGTGCGAGCATATAGTTTTCTATATAGGCTCCTGGTTTTTCCTGATGAGATACAAGGGGAGAGTTGTAAATGAAGAGAGTGGATTGATTTAGATAAAATGGATTTAGCCCATTTTTTACATGAGTCCAAGTGCCTGTCAACCAGAATATTAACAATCTGGCTAAGTGGCACATTGCTTACCCTGCTGACAACCTTTAACATCCTGCGTAATAAGGTATAGTATTTCTTCAATAGCCCAGGAAAGACTAAGGGGGAACAATAGAGAATAATAGGCAGAACGCAAGAGTTAACGAATTGTAGGAGTAAGGGTTGGATTATAACAGAATGTCTTAACTTCTTGATGTAGAAGGTAAGACGGAATATTTTCTTAGAAATCATCAAGATATGAGACGATTAGGAAAGATCAGCAGATAGAATGACGCCAAGATATTTAATTTCCGGCTTGGTTCTTATTTCAGTGCCATCCATGTTGCACATCTCGTGAGTCCTAACCAGTTTGTTTAGGTCAGATTTATGCCTAAAGGTGAAATTGACTGTTTGGCATTTGGAGGGATTTAAGGTTAGACTGTTTTCCTTGGACCATTGGCTGATTTCTGATAGAAAGCCATTTAGTTTGGAGCAGTCACTTTGACATTTGACAGGCAAAGATACAGTCAGGTCGTCAGCATATTTGACAAAATTTTGAAGATGGTAAGTCATGTAGAAAGAAAGAAAAGAGAAGTGGGGAGAGTACAGCACCTCGGGGGACACCAGCTTCAGTGAGCACAACAGAGGAGGATTTACCTTTTGTATACAATGTACTGCATTCTGTTAGAGAAGTAGGAATGCAACCAGTTAGTGACTCAGGACTCAGTTTGTGTCATAGAGAGTTTATTTAGCAAGAGACATCTAGGTACATAGTCAAAAGCAGAAGTGAAGTCGAGAAACGTGCAGCGGACGTATTTGGCACCTTTATCTAATGATGAGATGATGCTGTTGTGTAAGACGGCTGCAGCGTCTAAAGTGCTCCTGCCCTGTCTACAGGCAAATTGTTTGGGGTCTTCAAAGCTTTTAAGGGAGGGTTCAAGTTTAAGAAGTACTAGTTTTTCCATAAGCTTTAGAAACGCGAAAGTGATGGCAATGGGTCTGAACTTTACGTTCTTGCTATTGCTAGTCAGATTCCTTCAATTTTATTATATGTATTTCCAATAAGCGACAATAAACACGAAACCTAAGTAAGATGGTGAGTTTTTAACATAAATTTAGGGTGTTATCCGACATGATATTCGCAAATAAAATCATATCTACTTCAGCCAATGGAATGGTCGTTGAAATTTAAAACAAATCTAGCTGACAGTGTCACTTGTAAGAATGAACGAGGTGTCTTCCTTGATTACACATCTGCGTTTGTCTCTATACCTGACCCTCTCCTGTGAAACAGACTTGCTGCTAAGCAAGCAGAAAACTGGGTTAATAAACGGTAGCATTCTTACTCTTCTGATAAAAGGCTGAACACTGTATATAATAGGGAGTAGTACATTGGTCTACTTACTCTCACTGGTGTTCCTCAAGGTGTCATTCTTCCTCCTTTTCTGTTTTCTTTCTTCTTACATGACTCAACCCACTCTGATGAAGTCAATTTTCTTAAGTATGCTAGTGATCTGGCTGATTACTTCTTAATCAGAATACTCCAAAATAAATAATTTTTCATGAGAAATTGGTCAATGGTTTTTGTCAAATGGCCATATTTTAAATCCCTCCAAATGTCAAATTGTTAATTTCCCTTTGAGAAGCAAGAAGTGGTTCGTTTGCATGGTTCTAATATCAAAGAAGGCACTGAAGTTGAAAATGAGTCGACTGTTCCATATCTTGGATTCTGTATTTCCTCTGATCTTTCTTGGTGTTCACGCATCACGTTAATTTCTAGAAAGATGCTTTGTCTAATCGTTTACGTCGGGAAGTTAAGGAAATTCGGAGTCACTCAGTCTATAAATCGACAGTTTGCTAATTCTTGTATTCTACCAGTTCTTTTTTTTATTGCTCATCCTTCTTAATCTTTACTGGGCTATTTAAGAAAGATGTTTTACTCGACCAAGGGCATTAAAAGCTGTCAGCATGGGGAGTAGGTTGTCGCTAAACCAACCTATTAATACTGTTGTAGGTAGACACATGGAATCGTGAAAGGAATTAGCCAATATTATCTTGTCGGACCCTTATTATCATATTTGTACATAACTCTCTTCCTGAATCTTACCAGGCAGAACCAGAAGCAACTATAGGATAATATGTGGTGGACGACCAAGTAGAAGAACTCAGCGAAACTTTATGCGGTTAGAAAAATGTAGAGCATGACACTGACTTACTGAGAAACACTTATTAAACGACCCTTTTTATTCCTTCTGCCGTTACTGTACCTTTGTTAATATTTTCAATTAAATTTTAATTTTATACTCACATTCTTATACAAACAGTATTATCAGTATAAATGCCCTGTTCTAATTATTACCCTGTATTATGTAATGAGAAAAGTAGACGCGATACTGTATAAATGCTAAAAACTTTACATTTCTATCAAAAGTACTGTTGGGAATAAAGCTATTATTATTGTTATCATGATGGAGAAGATTTCTAGCTCAGGTGGATGATTTTGATGTGGTTGTGTTCTCTGAGCAGGA